GTTTCTGCCATCCAATTTGGTGTCGTTACCTGACCCAGTGGGTTGGTTAGCGTTCTGTACTTTTACAGCTTTGAGAGCGGCGCACATCGGCCAGGCGAGCGTGGTGGTTGCAAGGTCAAATGGGCGGTCGGCGTGGTCGCGCGGTCCGTGTGATGGGTGATGCAGCCGCACTGGCTGACAAGTTCACAAGGAATGACGAGTGACTGGAACCTGAACAGAGCGCTGAACGCAGATTGACAAATCACACATTTTTTCACAATTGTGTTGAGAAACACTGGAGCTGAACAAGCTTAGGCTTTTCGGTCTGTCTCGAGAATTCTGTATCGAATGGTGTCACACAGAAAAGCTATCGGCTCAATGTGATTGAATTAAGCGCTTGCGCTTAATCACAGATGCTAGTGAAAACGGTTAGTGATGACCCAGCCTCTAACCGTAGAAGATATTTCCACGTATGATGGATCACTGTGTAGGACTGGCAAATCCGGTTCGAATGAGTGTACAGTGACAACGCTGCGAGAAAATGGAGAGAGAACGGAGGGGTATAACCCAAATGAACCAGGAGCACGTACGTCACGCGTGTGTGAGGATGACCTTCAAGTCTGGTAGTCGCATTCTTGTATGCATTAGCTGATCCCCACTAAGGGTCAGTGAAGGATGCGGTCCAGACCAAGCTTGGAGGAACGCTTTGCATTTCGATGGTGCAAAGCAAAGCCAGAAGCGGCTGACAGCCAGAGATAATCTGTCCAGTTCCGCTTGACAAGTATGTGCGCTGTCACAGATTACGGCAATATCGTCAGCATACTCGAAATCAAGAAGCCGTTCCCCTGGGAGCAGATCCACACCTTTCAAGTCGTGTCCTGTGAACGTGATTTCCATAAATGCTTTGATAGCGAAGTTGAAGAGGAAAGGTGACAGCGGGCATCATTGTCTCACAACGCAGGAGATATTAAAGGGCGACGACATCTGGCCCTCAATCTGCCTGATCTACGCGCGTATAGTGCTCGGATAATATTCACATATTTCTCAGGTACACCTCTCTTTAGTAGACAGTCCCAAAGCACACGTCTATCCACCGAATTGAATGCACCTTTGATATCAAGGAACGCGACAACGGTGGGCCGACAATATATGTGACGGTGCTCCAACAACTGATGCAAACGGAAGATGTGGTCAATGCAGACACGACGTCGACGAAACCAGGCTTGCTCTTTACGAATATGACTTTCATGACTGCCAGTCAGTCAGTGAAGGATGACAGGGCAAGCAATTTAGAAGTGATGGGGATCAGACTGATTCCTCTATGGTTGCCGCCTCCGATCGTGATCCTCCCTTGAAAATTGGGACTATGACCGAGCGGCTCCTGTCGGTTGGGACAGTGTCCTGCTCCCACAGTTTTAGTAGTAACTCGTGTAAATCATCCATAAGACCAGATCCTCCGAATTTGAAGAGGGCTGGAGGAAGGTTATCTGGTCTCGCGGCTTTATTTAACTTCAACCGTGAGATCTCACGCTCGACTTCTGAGTGAGAAGGCAAATCCATAGGGAAAGCCTAAGGAGCGAGGGGATCAGTGACCGGCGGGAATTCTGCTAATTCCGACCGATTGAATTGCCTTTCAATGTGCTCAGCCAAACGCACCAAGCGTTTTGACAAGTTGTGGATAGGCTGTCCACTCTTGTCACGTATAGTTTCACTAACACCAGGTCTTCTACCGCCAGTTTCCCGTATCAGCCGGGATACCTTACTATGGTTACCAAGGCCAGCGGTCATTTCCACCTCTGATGTACGATGAGACCATCAGGATTCGCTGTCACTCTTCAGGCTAGCAGGGGATTTTGCCCGGAGCTCATTGCGACTTTCCGTGTGTTTGCTTCCAGCCGGAATATGCCGGAGGCATCGATAAGTTCCAGGAAATGCGAAGGGACCTAATGTCCATGTTGGCGATTAGACTTACCACATGAGGAGTTGCCTGCTGCTAGTAAGATCTAGTGAATATGAGACCAGTGCGCTTCATTTGCCTCTAGTGAGCGCTTACTCAACTCGCATTACAGCGTACTTTGATAAGCATTCAAAACAGCTGGTTTCGCCAGTTGGCTGGTGTCAATGCGCTCAAAACGTCGTCTTAGGCGTCCGCCAAAACGCATCCGTAGTTCAGCACATACAAGCACATAGTCGGTGTTCATACATGTGCTCCAAATCGAGCGACAGTTCCGGAAGCAGCTTCTCCATGGTAACATAGCAATATGCTCGATTTGCGTCCATAGCTGTTTCGATGCTGGTGAGCGCCAAGTCACACTCCGGCGGGTGCTGTGTCGGAAATTTGTGCTCGCATGGAATACGCGCGCATCTTCACACAAATGAAGTAATCGCTCACCGTTTTCATTACGGGAGCCTATACCATATTGGCCGCCCAGATGCAGTTCATCAGTGGATAATTTTCCGAATTGAGCGTTAAGATCCCCCGCCAGCACTACAGTTTACGCGCTTATTATGTGTCGAAGAAGCTTCTTCAATTGGCGATAGAGGTCGTCTTGTACAGAAGCATCGATAGAGTTTGTGAGTGCATAAGCTGCAATGACGAATAGACACCTGTTAATCCCGCGCGTCTTCGAAGCTTTGAACGAGCCAGCCAATCGGACCGCACACATCCGGCTACTGATTAGAATCCAGTCAACCGGAGCAGCTTCAGCCGCGGACTCAGGGCAATACCAACACCGGCTTGGCCGATACTCGAAGCTGCATCATCACCGGATAGGCGCAATGAGTAAGTGCTGCTAGTGCCCTCTGAAGGGGCTCCCAGAGTGAGCACAGAGCTCGAGTCTTGCAGGCGGGTCTCCGATAAGCAATATATGTCGAAAGAGAGGGTCTCTAATGTCCGAGCAAGTGTTGCCTGTTGACCGATGTGTAGTAATGTGCATACATTGAGGCATGCCAATCTGAAGGAGGATCGAGGGCTCCAAATAGAAGCCGATGAACTTGCCTTGGCCGCTTGCTTGGACATGGGCTTATCGACAGGACAGGAATGACTCTCCGCGTTCACATGTGAGTTGAAACCAGAAGGTAAAATCTAGCAAAGGAAGGTGGGGTGGCCAAAAATTGGGGGTTGAAACAGGGGATAAAGTGAAACTGGATTGGGACGATAAGGGTTAAAACGCGTAAGAGGGTGAGTAAGAAGACGGGAAGGCTTGAGCAGTAGCATCCAAACCCCTATCCGCCCTGCTAGGCGCAGCAGATATGGCACCACTAATTATTTTCTGCGGTGGCCGGAGTATCAAGAAATCGTGTGAAGAGAAGTTTACAGTATTACTCAGGCCTACACAAGAGAACGATAAGGGTTCTAAAGCAAAGCCTTGGGTTCAAAAACCAGACCACAAGGCAGCTGATTTGGCGTCGAGCTAGAAGGATTCCGTTTTAAAGAATAAGGAGCCACCTCATTTCAAACTCCAACCTGGAAGACAAGGTGGCTGAGTTAGTCTAGCCCCTAACCATTGACCATTGCGTTATGAGTGGGTCTGAAGGTGCAAAAGCACCACCCAGCATAGCTCAATGCATCTCTAAGGCACGCAAAACGTCGCACCACTGTAAGGTCCAGCCTCATTGCGGAGTTAACCAAAGTAGTAGAGCGCGCTGCTACGTGGAAAACGCCTATCAAATCGATTCTTAAAACTTTTACTTGTTTTCTATGCATTTCGCTGCATTAAATTGGCAAGATCGCATCTTGCAATTTGCAAGCGCGTTGGAAGCAGATGAGTTTACCATTAGCTACCTTTAAGTAAGAAATGATTGCTAGTGTGAGAACACCTGGGAAATTGTGTTAGTTTTCGAGATAATGGCACTACCAACTAAGCACCTAGAGTGGCAGCCAGTTTTTATCCTGTTACAGGCGGAAATGATGGCTGTTTGTGAATCAGGTCGATTCAGGTAACAAGCTAGAACGTCCCAATGTATTGCTTGATAAAGTCAGACAACTTACATCAATGCTTTTACCACTAAGTTTACTTAAGGCGTTTTTGCATTGAACATCAGTAGGAACAGTGCCTGAGTTGTTAGGTGAAGAGTTCCTTAACAACCTGTTGCATCACCATTTCAAAGACCTATGTCCTCTTGAAGCAGCAGCATTTTTCCCTGGAAGTCATTTCATTAGAACCCATCAACGGTCCAAAGGTTGTCGTTAGCAACAATGACCAAACCCTTGTTTTGACATGCTGATTTTATTTTTATAGAGAGGAATAAAGAAGGATGAAATTCATTTCTTTGGATGATCCCGATCCTAATTGGTAGTAAATTTTACCGCTAGATCTGTATTTGGGTTGTTGGGAGAATATGTTTGAATCCGTAGGAAAGATGGCTAGCTAAGATTTCTGCACTGAACTTACTTTCGTATAGTAACGGATATGCATAACTGAGAATAATTGTCACATAGATGTTGGAATGTTGATAACACATGTCCCTTTCATGTAGTCATTTTTGCAGTTCAGTTGATTAAAGCATGTTATTTATATAGGGCGTCAGGTTTGTGTGGTTTAACTTACCAAGCAACTTGGGTTTAACAGAGTAACGGTTAATGAATACCAAACAACAGTTTCCGCCGCGAGATCCGTCGGTCTTTCACCAATTCCTCTTCATAACCACTAGATTGCAGAAAACGAAACACGATCCTGCAGACACAGTAACCATTAGGCCAGGGCTTATTGCTCCCTAGGCCTGAAAAGTGTTACCCAGCGCTTTCTTCCCTCTGCAATGACCATCTGATTAAATTCGTTTGCGACGTGGCTCCCTTAACCACTTTTACATCTTCCTGCCATTTTCGTTGAATACCTGTTTGCCGATCAATCTTCACCTGAAAAGTACCTCCTTGTCCCTGTGTTCATGAGTTGAAACACCTTTGATAGCATATATCATCGTGGTTGCGTATTGAATAAACAAACAAATCTACTCTCACACTGTTTTCTATTAGCTCAAGTTAATCCCTGTACATGGTCTACCCTACTAAGTAAGTAATTAGATGAAAAATGGTATCTATTTCATTATGTACAGGCACGTGATGTGTTTTCACTAGCAATGCCAAGCGTCCATTTATCAGGGGGGCTAAAAGTGCGAAAAGCATGGTTCGTAGTTTTGGGACAAAACTGGGGGTCCACACAATGTGCACACAGCAACTGTACATATGACCTATCGAATTACACACTGACGCTTGATTTGCATGAATCTAAACATCAATTCAGTTGCAATACCTAATGGGTATCAATTTGTTCGCGGTGAGTCTGCATCCCCAAACTGGAGACTGATGTCAGTTTGCTGAACTGTGTGGTCCAAAGTTACCACAGGGTTGCCTGAATGATTTTGTACGGTTCCTGAATTCAGCTGTTCATTAGTACCAGGTATATGTGTTGCATCACAACCAAGGGGACATTCTGTGTGTCCTGGTACGCCAAAACAAGCGCTAGACTTTCGTGTGTAATTTCTGCTCGACATTCGCGAGTGCATTTCAGCCGACTCCTTCTGCCTGAACAATTTTTCCCGACGGGCTTGATCTTGGTAGAAAGCAGCAAAATTATTCACAATGATGGGGATTGGTAATCCCACCACCAGTACACCACAAATACAACATACAGAACCTATGAGTTTCCCCAGTGCTGTCTTCGGAGTGATGTCCCCATATCCCACTGTGGTCATTGTAATAATGGACCACCAGAAGGTCGCCGGGATGCTGCTGAACATATCGGGGTTCTCATCCTTTTCAGCAAAGTACGCCAGACTGGAGAACAAGAGGACGACCAGAACTACAAACATCATCAGTAACCCAAGTTCTTTGTAGGACTGCGCTACTGTGTATCCAAGGGCTTGCAATCCTTGTGAATGTCGAGCCAGTTTGAATACGCGCAGAATTCGTAAGATACGAAACATTTGTACAACCTTGCGAACTGAAACCAAAGAGTCCACGGTGGAATCGAGCCAGAATTCGAAAATCTTGGAAAAGTAAAATGGCAGAATTGCAACGACGTCGATGAGATTCATGAAGCTTTTGGCAAATTCACATTTGTTTGGGGCAACGCAAAATCGAACCACATACTCCAGTGTGAACCAAATTGTACAGACGAGCTCAAGTATTTCCAAACTTGGATCCAAAGTGTGCTGACCATCCATGCGGGAACGAGCAGTGATGTTGGGGCTGGTGATGTTCCCACGCAGTTCAGGCAGAGTACTCAAGTTCAGTCCCAGAATGGACAGTACAATGAAGATGATTGAAATGACGGCGAAAACCTGTAAGGGAAAATATGAGTCCGACATAATTTCACATGTGATACAGGGAAATATACTATTCATTTTGGCACCCGTACTGAGAAATCGTACGGTAGCTCAATTGAGATTAGTGTGGGGTGACGGTGTAATATAAAATAAGCACTGCATCAGCTAGAAGCTAAGCACAGCCTTTGTGAACATTTTCAAATTTTGCAGTACCCTGAACTGTCATTGTCAGGACAGTCAGCGAGGATTGCACAGCAGGTCCTGCGAATCATGGTCGCAAATAACACGAAGCTACCAACCAGCTCTACTGCACACCACATACTTCATTGCCTTGTATGCCAAAACACGTAGTGGGTTCAAGATAATTAACAGACCAAGTTCCTTGAGGCCTCGGTGATTCGGCGGTTGAAACCGAGTTTGTACAAACAAGCGGATTTCTCGACCAGCCTCCCCCTACCCAGCTGAGGCGAGTGATCGTTTTCGTCTGACGGGGCCACATGAACTCAACGGCTCTCGGCTGCTTCAACTTTCGCCGATTGTCTTTGCTATGCAATATGTTCTTTCCACCAATTATATGTAAACAGCTGAGGAGAATTTTGCGAAATTATTGATATCAGCATATTCTTTTAAAATGTGCATTCTTTTTGCCATACTAAAATTTGTGAAGGGAATTGTTTGCTTGGAATGTGTTTGCTCGGTCATGTGCAACGCACTGACGTGTTCAAACCGTGGCTTCCTGTGACTAAATGCGAACAAAAGGTTACAAGTCGACCGACAAAAGCAATATCCATCTTGATTACCGGAGCCATGATAGCATACTACTTATTTCCGTATTTTGTTTCCTAACTGGTCTGGAGATTCTTATCTATTCGATGCTCATGTGAGAGTTAAGGGCATGTTTAGCTAATGAAAAGAACTGTGCTTGATACCACGACTTACTGTAAGCATTGTGTTAAAGTATGTTTATACTCATATTAGCATGATAGACATTAAAATGCTACGCACTTGAGAATCGCTAAATCCGCAAAATTTTACACGTGCTACATAGTGGCTGTTATCTCTTCATACCATTGCACTTAATAGCATGGGCTTGGCCTTTGACTGTATCGTTTAGTTAGCCACACATGAACTGGAAGTCCAACTGGACGATGGATTGCTGACCAGCACCATAGGACTTGCACCATAGTATTCCGTCAGTAAGTTTTATCACAAACACTGTATGCTCAATGGTATTCCATTTTGCAGCACATGTTGTGCGATTGGATTGCAACACAATTTGGACGGAGAGTTGCATCCAGGTGTGAGCAGGTGAATTTGGCCCCTGCGCTCCGTATCCTAAACAGACACCAAACACAAGTCTTCAAGTGTTCGTTAAAAACTGTTTCTCCTAAGCCAGTGCCTTATTCATTAAGGATTTTTGCATCGTGATGAATGCATAGGGACAAAGGATCCATCACATGCAGAAAGCTAAAAATAAGGAACTTGTTCCGATTTCGATTTTCATGTTTTGAGGAACTCGCTATGTGAGTTGGATTGCGACACATGATCTCAAATTTGACATCGGTTGAGTTTAAATTCAGCTCCTTCCATTACGAGCACTGAGAGTCATCGAAGTGGATAGTTTTGGTGTGGCGCTGTCCCAGCCTTGTACTCCACGACCGACGGTTTCCTCCTACTTTGGACTCATCAGGTAGAGACATTTAAGCTGGTAGTGGAGCCGACGCATAGTGCTTGGAGGATATCATTAAGGTACCTGTTCCCCTGCATGTTCTACATAGGATTAGATCACTGAACATACAGTAAAATCTCTACAATTGTCCACATCTGTATCTTGACCACCTCCACAAGCTGACAGATGTTACAGCTTATTTGCTCTTCATGTAAAATATATGGAGCAAGACCTCTGTGTGTTGATAATCTCTGTAAGTTTTATCTCGACCAAGTGGGTCATAACTTTTGCCAGTAATTAATACTTGTCAATTGAGCATGTGATGGTTTGCCATGCAGACAAATATGTGTACGCATACACACAGTCAGCGCATCTACTCTTTCGCCAAACTTCCCTGGCCTACAAAAGTGCAGTGATTGTGGGTCAGGTGAAAATTGTAACTTGTAAAATCCCACTATATACACATAATTATATGAACAAACGTGTCATTCATTGGCCTTTGTACAGTAAAAATTCACATTGTCAACTTGTAAAAACTACATTACGGACTAGTTATGGCCAAAGTAGTCAACATAACATGTTCAAACATGGTCTGCCAATGTGCTCACGCGCGTGGATGTTCACCTTGTACAATGCGTTCTCACAGATTTTAGTCAACGGATTGACCTTTACCGGTTTTGTGTGAACATGTGCACACTAAGTACACAAGTCGCAATCGGGAGTTTGAGTGTATGTCAAACTGTCGACTAACCAGTTCAGTTACGGTGTTTGTGTGACGAGAAAGAAGCAGACAAAGATGGACTTTTCCAAAACTGATTTAACTATGGGGAAGCCACATTGCATTATGATTTGTTAGAAAACCGTCTGATTTAACTGTGTTTGCCATTATGCATAGGCTTTGGTACAATATTTGTAGGATGCGAGTGAAAATAAAAGCTGGCTTGCTGAACAACCGCTAGGTGGTGCCAGCTGGGCGGATTGACGGCAGTGTTTCAGGGAGTGGCAGGTTTTCACCTTGCAAGTGTTCTCCCCACAAAAGCCAAAAATGTTCTTTTAATAACACTGCGACCTGGCTGATGTGACTCGCTGCTAAATAAATTGACCGAATCTTACCCATCAAGATGATGCTACCCTCTCCACGGAAGTCAATAATGAGCTTCGAAGACTTTTTGTAACCCCTTCGTGTAATGGTGATCAGATCAAACACAATCACACACGCCGTGTTGCATCGGCATCTTCAATCAACATGGCCACATACACACGTATATGGTTGGCGGCATCAGGTTCCCGATTTGTCTGTCACTGGGGCCTCCATACGACAGTCACAGGACGCCTACGCCTACAGCGTGACTAAGCATGTCTTGTGTTGCTCGACACGCAGCTTCATTCACACACCTCATATCCAGTGTAAACCCGAAGGAATAAGACCATGAGGCATTTGGATGCGAGCTGCGTTGCATCAACGAAGCCGACCCGCACTACTTCAACATGCACAGCAGCAACCTACATGCCTAATTGGGAAATCAGAGCTATGCCACGTGCACAAGGCGGTGGCTGGGCCGTAGTCTGCTCCGCAATGTATGGAACCACCCTTTGAGCCAGCACAGCGACGAGGACCATGCACCCCGTCCCCTCCAGAGACGATTCACAGTCTTTAGGAGCCAGTAATCGAGGAGGAAGTTGTTAGACAGGTAAGCACCTTGTCAAAATACGCACCAAGCACAGCCAAACCTAGGATATCAAACAAAGTATAGAAGTTGAGGAAAAGAAAGCACGCAAGAATGAGGCATGATATGCAGCAAAATAATGGAATTGAATAAACCAAATATAGTGGAATAAGTTTTATCCAGCTTAAATGATCTAGATTAAGTTTAAGTTGGTTTAGCCCAACTGCGGCGAAGAAGCATCTAGAACGCAACATCAACCTTAGTATGAATACTGAATACGGAATACTGAGGACAAAGAGCTAGAAGAGAAAATTCTGTTTTGCTTCATCCTAGGTGGATCAGGCACATGCGCGGAATCACGTCACTGATTCCTGCACGTTGGAAGCATATCGCAGCTGCACCACATCTTATCCCGGTGAGATGCGTTTCCTTTACCTGTAGTACTCAAAGTGGGCGTCAAGGAAGCTCTTAAATTCTGACACCAATTTCGCTTCAACTAGCGCCTTCGGCAATTTTTTCCAATATTTCAACACTAGACGCTCGAAGCCTAGAGAGTGTGCGATGCGCTTCAAATCTGGTACCAGCAGTTTGTACCGGTGTCCGCGTGTGCTGCTTGGTGCGCGAATGTGTAGCAGCAGCCTCAACATAGGGAAGTGGCCAAGGTTATGTATGCGATGCGTCATCATGAGATCAACTCGAAGGAGACGAAATGACAGGGCATACAGCCCTTGTCTTCTACATCGGTCTTCCTACGACATACTCCGTAAAATGGGGATGAGCCGGGTAGCTACATGCTGGACCCGTTCCAGTCTCTGCACCTCACCCATTGTGATCGGACAATAGGCGGGTGAGCCGTACTCAAGCACCGGTCTTATTATAGATGAGAACAGCTGGGTGGCCATCTCTTCAGACCAAGTGCCGAAGCTGCGTCTAAGTGTGCAAAGCAGGCGTGGTCCGTTTGCGTACAGTCTGTTCGTGTTGTCGACAGACTTCAGATCACAGCGTGCGTGTACGCCTAGATCCTTTACGGAACTGGTGGGATGCAGCTGGTTGATGGCCAGGGTGTACGCGCGACCATTACCACTCCACCCCTAGCTCATAAACGAGGACTTGGCCAGGTGTTGACCAGTAGGTCAACTTCTGCAGACCACCGGGATAGGCGGTCGAGGTCCTGCTGAAGGACGTCACAGTCGTCGGGAGAATCAATAACCCTCCAAATCTTCAAGTCGTCTGCAAACAGTGCACAAGGCGACCGAAGAAGCTGAGGCACTTCGTTTATGTGGATCAGGAATAAAATTGGCCCCAGCACTGTGCCTTGGGGTACACCGCTAGTGGAGGGGTACCAGTCCGTTAGGTGGTCATCCACCTGTACCCGCCATCTTCTCCCAATAAGGAAGTCACTGATCCACTGGTGCAGTGCGCCACCAACACCACACATCCTCAGCTTGTGGAGCAGGACCTCATGGTTCACTTTATCGAAAGCTTTACTGAAATCAATGTAGATAACATCCACTGACTTCCCCCGGTTCAACGCTTGCAACCATTCCTGCCGCGTCAACAGCAGGTTGGTGATGCACGAGCGGCCCTTCATGAAGCCGTGCTGTGCCGGCGTTAAGAGATCTTTCGACTCCAGCAGCTGGAGAAGACTCTTTTTCACAATCTTCTCGAGCACTTTCGCC